GGCAGCTTAGTAAATTCTCTAGTTCACTCAGATATCAAAGAAAACACACAAAAGATGGAAGAGGATTAAATTCCAAGTGTGGCCCTGAACTGAAAGGCAATTGTCAGAAGTCCAGTCCTCAGAATGATGTGACGCTTGTGAAAAATTTCAAAGGCAATAAAAAGGACTTCAAAATCAAATTTATTGCAATGTAATTTACATACAATGAAGTGCATACTTTTAAGTGGACAGTTTGATGGGATTTGACAAATGTATACACCCGTCAAAATACAGAACATTTCAACAGCCTCACAGTTTTCCTGTGCCCCTGTGCAGTCAGTCCTCTCCTAGCCTGCTCCCAGGAGACACCAACCTGGTTTCTGCCACCTTAGATTGATTTTGCTGATTCTAGAAGTCCACGGACATAGAAGCATACAGTCTGCATGCCTACCCTTTGTTTTCTCAGCATAATGTAAAAAAACTAAGAGTACAGAAACAGTAGCTTCCCCTTACAACCAGGGGTCCTGAGTTAATCACTGATGAGTAAATGTGGAATCCCTTTATACTGGGCCAGAATGCTGCAAGTAGAAGGAGGGAAAATACAGCCAATGATTCTGTAACACCTTCCTAGGCTGACAGACAGTAACTGCACTGGTGGGATGAGGATTTAATAATATGGGTAACTGCTGAACCACTGTGTTGTATACTTGAAACCAATATAAGATTGTGTATCAGTGATATTTCAACAAAAAAAAGATGAAGGAGGACTTTGAGATTGTGGGTGTAAAGCCTATAGAGCTCAAAATTGGTGGGTTCAACCTCATTCTTATCATGATAATGATAAAACTTCATCAGAGTATGGCCTCTGCCACCCAAACTTCTACCATTTCCCCGTTGATAAGGGGGAAGGAGGGGACAGTAAGAGATTATTCAAAAGTAGTGTGGGACTTTTGTTAAGGGTTGGTTTAAGGGCTTTGACAATAGATGTCGTATGAGGAACCCAGCTGCATATGTTTATACTATTTGACCAAACCAAGTGCGGCTGAATGTGGACACGCTTTGCTATGTCTTTTAAGAAGTTGGAAAGGACACTTAGAATTGAGAAATCCAAGATATAACCTGCACTAGGGATGAAGGCTCTAGCAGCAAAGAATCTGAGACCTTGCTTAATGGACTTCAAAGATTGCAAATGTGAGCCGTGGCAAGAACACCTGACAATGTCCTGTGGTGGAACAGGAGCAGTGTGTGAGACTTGACTCTGATCTCAGGGCCACAAGCCGCATATCAGATTTGCTATTGAGAAAGCCAAAGAAATCTTCAAGGATGACAACCAGGAAACTATGAATATTCTATACAAGGCATTAGAATTTCACAAGAGAAGACTTTGCTCAGAAGGGGAAAGTGAACAGGCACCAAACAAGAATTTCAAGCCTGTTTCGAGACAGGAGACATGGAGTCCTCATCTCACTGTGTCCTCTGATGTGAGCAGTGTGGCTAATTAAGGTGTCAGTCAGGACATGGTGAAGCATCTTGAGATATTTGAATATCCTGCCACCATGGAAACCCAGACCTACCTCTGGACCACTTACTGGGAGGGAATTATGAGAGAGAATGAAGAGAGAGAAGTAGGGACCTCTAAGTCGTCCTTGGGTAGAAAAAATTTCTCCTCCCATAAGTAGTTATATGTGTATAAGTGTGTTTCATATGGCTAATACGATTTCTTCTGTAACCCCAATTCTCTAATATTAGTTTCTTACAAAAACTTTCTCAGAAACAAGGTAGGGATTTTACTAGATTATGATTTGAGGACTATCTTTTCTTATAATGGTATGAAAGATAGTCTCCTACTTGGTCAATTATTCCATTAAGAACTTGATGTCCTATCTCCTTTCTTTGACCCACAAAAAAAAGATTGGATTTCTGTACCATTAGCTATCTTCCCAGCACACAAACCTTGAAGAAAGAGAGCTTCCTCTTAAACCTCCTCTGAAAAAAAAGAAAATCTGGACTAGGAATAGGGAGATTGGAAAGTCCTATTAGGTCCTATGACAGAGAAAATATAAATATGGCTGTTGCCTCCAGGGAGTTTATAATTAATTTATATTGATTTATAATCATAATCATAATGCATATTGAAACATTTTTATCAGGCTAAAGACTGTACTAACTGACAGAAACAGACTATTTCTTACTTTCCTTCAAAATTATTTGTACTGAAATGTTAACCAATCCCTAGATTTTACCTACTACTTCTAAGGAAGCATTGTCAATTTCACATTAATTTATTCTAACAGCAATGTTAAGTATTGGGTAAGTTGATTTGGTATGATCAGAAGAGTCTAAGACCCAGCGTTTAAGTTGGCATCTATATTATTGGAAACGATAATTAATGTAAGGATTCAATAAGACAAAGGGACTTAAAAAAAATTTCTTTGCATCTGACACAAACTGAGATTAATATATACAACCTATGTCTACCTGGCTTTATCCTCCCTCCATCCCTATCTTGGAGAGGGTGATCGCCTAAAATTCAACTATTTGCAAACAATTTTTCTTGGGAATGTAACACTAACAGAGTTAATTGCTTTTCTCTAAGTTTTAGAACAAAATCTGAGGAAGTATGATAAGACCATCCCATGCAAACTGCTTCAAAAATGTAGGCATTTGCCTCCAGCAGCTTGAGGTAGCAAATACAAACTCTTATTTTTATGGTCCATTCTTGAAATGGACACTAAAATGCTTAAATTTGTAAAGAGAACTTTTTTCCAGAGAGCATATACATACAAACTTTATTATTGACTTACTTTTAACATATGAGCTTCAGCAACTTTTCTAGAATTTCGTATTTATTTTCATTTTCATGAGTATTAAAGACATTCCATAACTGTGAAATAGTCAACTGGTTTAAGTCTAATGAATACCTGATTAAAGTTACATAGTCACTAACATAAAACAATTGTGGTGTTTAGTGTCCACATATGGTCCACGCAGGGACCATCTCCAGAATGAGGAATGAAGCACAGAATTAGTTTCCAAGACCCTCAGCAGACAAACTCAAGGGGGGAATTTCAAACCAGCTCCCAGAACCTGGGCTCAGAGGCAAGTACCCAAGTGAGGGCTCCTGTTGCAAATTACCGCTGTAGTCTCAGAATAAAATGGGTATTGGATTCCCCTCAAGTTGGACTCCCTTCTTTACCTGTTACTCAGAATGAGAGCCAGGTAAGTGACAGTGAAGAACTGTCCATAATTTGTGAAGAGTTGGTATTCAGGGGCAACAGCAGAAAGGCAGCTTTACAGCTTCAAAAGCTTCTTATTATCCTCCTTGGTTTGGGTTTATTATTTCCAGACCAAGTTATTATATAAGCCAGTCTGCAGTGGAACAGGCTGGAGAAGATTTGAATTCACTAAGAAGTTCTCTAGAAAAGAGTGGCAAATTTGTTTAAAAGCAACATTTTGAAAATTTATTTCTGTGTGAAGGGAGTGTGTGAAGGCGAAGACCCAAGGTTAGACTTGAGCAGCAGCAGATGGTTGTAAAAGTATTGCATATCAGTGAGGAGAAGGAATTATGTCGCTCCTGAAAGGTGAAAAGGGAGGGGAGGAAGAGAAAGTGTAGGATAAGCAGCAGAGAGGAGAGCAAGGTAGTGCAGTGCAGGCCAGTCCAGCACCGAGTGTTTGTGGGTTTGTACATGGGTATGGCCTGCTCCAGCTGGCTCAGGAGAGCAAGTTGTGCAACCCTATCAGTGATGCCATATTGATAGCCTGCAATAACCCACAGTAGGAGTGTTTACATCACAGAAACTGGCAAACACTCCATATTAGAGCTCCCCAACTCACCTTCCTCCTAGAGCCTGTTTCCCAGAACAACTGTGGGTCTGGGGCAAGAAGCCAACATAACATCTGCCTAAATACTTAGAAGTTCAAAGTCTGGATAACTATTAAATAAAATATATTCTACCCTCCTACTTGGACAAGCATACTTTTAGAAAGACCTGGAAGGGTAGGTTCAAATTTAGCGTTACCAGATTCCCTGGGTTCCACAACAGAGTATGGAGAGAGACAGCTGGCTCCCTGGCAGCCACTCCCTGGCCTGTAGATAGTTTCTTTTGTTTCCCCAGTGTCTCTTTCCACACTGCAGAGGGCCTTGTGTGCACAGGTATGGATGGCCTCTGCTGCAGATCTAAGCTCTATCTACACCCCATCCATAAAACATGTGTCCCTTTGGCACTCTCAGGGACTATGGGTATGCATTTCCATTGGGCAGCCTGCTCACAGGAGAACCGAACAGGAAAGAGGCTGCACAAGCCCTGAAACAGGCTCAGGGCTGAAGAGCAGATAGTTCTGGGGTCTCAGGCATCGACCATGGTGTAGAAGAGGGTAGCCAGGACCCATGTGGCTGTATCTCCTCAGCCCCACAGCCTCCTTTCCCTGAAAGGAGAGCAGTCAGACGAGGGTCAGAGTAAGGCGCTCTAAAGCACACAACCCAGCATAGGCATGCTTCTGCCAGGTCTGAGGATGGTATGTTCTGGGCACAGTGTACTCCATTCTACATATCCTCGAATTCTAAGCAAATTCTATAAAACTTGGGAAATGCCCAGGATACTAGTTTTTTTTCCCCTAGAAACTGGAGAAGGAATGAGTTCTGAGGCGTGGGTCGATGCAGACTGAAAGAGAGGCCATACATCTGAACACAGTGAGCCTGAGGAGTTAGCGGTTCCAGCTGACGTGTGGCTTCTGAGCTCTGAGTTAGCAAATTAATTCCTCCACCTGTGCTTTGGTCCCTGCTCTCACGGGGGCCTCAGTCCAGCAGCTGCCCTCTCCCTCCTCACATCTCCCACCCTTATTTGCCGAGGAACCTTCCTTTAAGCACTTATATATGCTCACATTTCTCTCATTTGAACTCAACAAGAAATAAAAACTTCCTTAGATTGGTCCTCCACTGTCAGCTCTTGTCCCACTTCTTTCCTCATATTCAGAGCCAAAATTCTTGAAAAGCTGCCTCTGTTTCTTCCCTCAATTCTTACCTTAAATCCACCACAGTCTGGCTCTTGCTGCCACCACATCATCCAAATTCAGAGGACACTTTCCGGCCCTTCCTTTGCTTGACCTCTCTCTGGCACCGGAACTATTAACTGCTCTTTGATTCCTGAAATGGCCCCCTGTGGCTTCCAGGATGTTGCTGTTCTGGTTAGTAATAGCCACCACACACGTCCACCTCCTCAGCAGGCTCTCTTCCTTCCCTGTGCACTAACCGCTTGCTTTTTTTAAAGGCTCAGCCTTACCCTCTCTGATTGTCTCACTCCATTCTCTCTCCCAGGGTAATCACTGCATGTGGATGATTCCCAAACCTTTATCTCCAAACCAGATCTCTCTCTTCTGATGTCTAGGCCTGAACATCCGACTCAGGGCCCACCGGAAATCATGCAGCCACCTTAATGCAGCATATCTGAAGCTGAACCCCTTTGCTTAGAAAATGCCTGTCCCCCAGCTGCCCAAGCCAAGCATCCAGCTTACTCTTGGCATCTCCCTTTCTCTCACTGAGCTCAGACTGGACATGCTGCAAACTGGCCTAAGTCCAGTTGCCGTTAATGAATTACTGGGAGATGTCGAAGGCCTTTGGTATAGGTGAGGGCTTTGTTTTGTTGTACCAAATTTACCAATTTGGTCCTCTAAGCTCAGCTCTATCCACTAGGTATCATACTAGTTGAGATAACGCAAAGCTGATATAACGAAGACCCAATAATAATACAGTAGTTTAAAGCAACAGGTGGCTCTGCTCCAGGCAGGCACGTGGGCCTTCTAACATGGTTCTCCACCATCTCCAGTGCCTTCTGTTCTCTGCATGGCCAAGGTCCTAGCCAAATGGCAAGAAGGGAGGCACGCTTATAGTCTTAAGGTTTAGGCCTAGAAATATAGGCATACATTCTTTCACTCACATCCCATTAGACAAAATGTAGCCATCTGACCACACCTATCTGTTCAGTGGGATATATGTGTGTTGCAGCCGTGCCCCTAGGAAGAAGGGCAGATAGATATTTTGGTGGATACCAGTTGTCTCCACCATTGGCACAGTGTCAAATACCTTGCATGAAAGCATTAATCAAGCAGATGCAGTAATATTAATATTCCAGAGGCAAGTTCAGCTCACTTTCTAGTAAGAACAGATAGCAGAATCTTCAGGTCCAGATCACAGGCAGAGCCAGAAGACCACTCTGAAAGCAGAGGGCTCCTGGGCTCATAAATTCATATATTCCTAAACATATAAGGCAAAGAGAGCTCTACAGTATTTCTAGTTACACATACCATATCTTAAATACCACTTTTTTGCCAATTAAAAATCATTTCTAACATTTCTTAAGTTTATTAACAATTAGCATATTGACATAGCAATAGTTGAACCACTTTTAACTGGTCCTCTAGAATACAGAGTCCTGAAACACGCATTTCTAACATACTCTGGAGAGTAATTCCTGATTAGGGGACTTCAAATACTGAATTACTATCTCCAGATTGAACCTAACAAACACGTGTATATCACATTGTCCATGCTCTTGACACATATTGAAAACATTTACCCCCTCCGCCCCACCCACCCCCACAGGAAATAGAGAAGACTAGGAGTCAGAATAGAGACGGTAATTATCAGGTAGGGCCCAGTTATCAACATACAAATACTCCCAGAGGGATTCTATAATTCAGGATCTTATGAAGATGACAAAGGGGTTTAAACATGATTGAATCCATTCTGCACTTTATACCACTTCCAGTTCCTCCCCTCTAAGGAACTGCCCATAACAGCTAAACCCTGTGGCCAGGGGAATATTTCTGGGATGGCCCGGATCCTCTTTTCTGTGTTCCACAGGCTCTCATCCCCAACCATTTGGGGATGTCCACTTCCTGTTTCTGGGTCTTTATTATAAGTGAAAGTGGTTCTTAGTTTTTGGCTTCAGCCCTGGCTCACGTATCATCTTGGACGCCTGAACCCTCCTTGACTCCCTTGCTTGCAATTGCACTGCTGCCTACGAAGGGGCAATAAGACTGGCGGTTAAAGCAAGGACTCTGGATTCTGCTGAAGGAGGGCATCACTGTTTACTGCCTGTGTGACCCTGTATCCATTACCCAGCTTCCCTCTTCCTCCGTTCCCTCTCTGTAAGATGAGTTATAACTGCAAAGTGTTTAGAACAGTGCCCGGCACACAGGAGCATTCTAAGGTGTTGGCTATTACTACTAGGTTCTCCAGCAGGACAGTCAATTGGGAGACCTTGAGTCTACTCCACTTTATTTCAATTTAAGAAGTAAACCAGTAACAGACGCTTTTATACTTTATCATTCCTAACATGTCATATCTACTACCGTCCCATTAAGTAGCCACAGGTGCACAATCAGATGGCTGCTGAGGCTGTTTTGAAATTTAAGATGTTTGAACCTGTGATTCCAGCATAGAAAATAATTACTTTTCTCTTGTCCTTAATACATGGTCTCTTTTAAAACAATCAAATGATTATTAGCCTTTCTATCTGAAGGAATAAAGGGGTAAGAAAAGAGAACTGAAAACCTTTTTTTAAAGGACCAAAGTTCAGTGGACACAGTTGTTGAAAGTTTAAGAGTTACCACATTGCTTGTGGATTAATTATCTACATACTATTTGTTCGTCTTAATAGTTGTAGCTTTTACTGGTGTTAAGCTATGTTGAAAACTCTGAGGAAATTATTTTGAAATCAAGTTTGTTTCTATCAGACTTTACGTGATTTAGGGCTGTAAGCCTGCTTTCCATTAACTGTTTATCCATTGAATTTATGGTAAATATTTTACCATCTTCCTACTGGATTCAAAACTAATGGCTAAAAGATATATAACATTTAGAGAGTAATTTATCAAAAAACAACACATAAATAGATTAACACACTTGATTCTATCCTGAAGTAGAGCCCATATCACATAATATCTGAGCAATTTTTCTACTTTCCTGTACTCCAAGGCAGTGCGGCTGCTGAAATGGTGGCCGGATTCCTACATCATGGGTACCTTAGTCAGCTCAGGATTTCCCTAGTTGTAGCACAGGAAGTCCCATGGGCCAGGAAATGCCTCAGTTCCCGAGGACATTCGGTCACCCTTTCTGGGAAGTAGGAGGCTTTCATGCCAGCCTAGAAAGGCCTGAGTTTATTGGCACAGCAGCTCCATGGACAGACAAGCACCTGGTACTATCTTCTATCATAGGTTCCTAGGAGCCTCTTCTCCCACAGGAGAAAAAAGGAGAAGCAGCCATAACAGTTTCCTGCAAAAAACTGCACGTTTGCTGCCTAGGATCTGGAATGCCGTGTGCACCCACACTGTGGTGAGTGGTGGCTACACTTATGTGTCATTCAGACCAGGGTTAAGAGAACCATGGTTAAGCGTAGTGGCTGGGACTCAGATTCCAGCTCTGCCCCTGTGAGGCTGTGGTCAGGACAGGCCACGACTCCTGGGCCACACTCTTCATTCAGGGAACACAGAGTCTGCATTCACTGAGGCTGAGAAACTGGGAAAAGGCAGTAACCTGGCATAGCACAACTCAAGACCAGTTTTTGGCTACCAAGCCTAGAGTTTTCCCAGTAACACTGATCAAGCCATATGGCAGGCAGTCCATCTGTTTTGATTAATTAGCCTCTGCCAAAGATCTTGGTGAGCCAAAGCTTTCTGATTAGTGATACGTCCCTGCCACCTTTTATGGTAGATGTGCTCACACAGCTTGTCTTTGGCAGTCAAATCCACTACTGTGGAATCCCCTCATCCCACTGAAGTCAGCCAATCTTTCTCAATGGTCATACCCAGCCTATAAAAGAGAGCAGCCACAGTTTTCAAAGGGTGAAGATGCTTTAGTGAAGAGTGTTGTCTTCTGGGCCTCTTCCTGGAATGTAGCTGGGGGCTGGATGTGCAGTTGCAGATAAGACCCATCCAACATTCCTGTCTCCCTAAGCCTTTGGATTCCGTCCTCCACATCACGCCAGGAAAGCACTCTAATAAGTGCACTCTTATCAGTGAGTTTGGCCTGACCTGTGTTACACTCCATGCTTCTTGTTCTGACATCATTAGAATGAATTCCCACAATGCTCCCCAAATTCCTGAATGATATGCCTGAGAAAAGTGTGGTGGCCCTTTTGGCAGGTAAATTATGTCTTCCTATATCATAGTGTGTACCTGTCCTGCTGACACATGCTGAGATGTAACCTTAGTTATACATCTAGTCACATGGGGGTGGTTGGGTCTTAAGGAGAATGAAAGACCCCTTTCAGGACATCTGCCCCAGATGAGGTTTTCACAGTAATTTAAGCAAAGGAAGGCTAGTTTACCTGGACTTATTTGCAAGCTTCAACAGGAAAGAGAGGTTCAGAAACTATAAATTCAACCATTGTTTCAATTCAGAAACCCGCACAACTAAATTCTGTGTTTAATTTTCAGCAATATCAGTCCTCTGTGTAAAAAGAAAAATTCCTCTCAGGCTGTCATGGAAGACTTCCCAACTGTGACTTGAGCTGAGTTAAAAGATTTGAGTTTGTCATTTTCTTTCTGTAAGCTCTCAAGTGCCCTCAGAAAACTCAATCTCACACTATATTTCTTTATATTCCTGACAGTCCTCACTGGCTGCCCTATCAGTTACGGGCAACAACTACTTGGGCTCCAAAGCCCCTTGCTTCAGTTTGTACCTCTTTATAATCAAACTCAGGTGACAGTTTGATTGTGGTGGCCCAGCAGGCCAGAGATCACCAGCTTCCCATTTCTCACAGGCAAGGAGTTCGGCACTGCCCTCAAATCAAAGGGCAAGACCAAACCAACCACCAAATCCAGTCTTTTCAGGTCTACCTCCCAAGGTGCTCCCAGAACCAATTCTGTATCAGTCAGACTGTGCCAGTGAGAGGCCAAGCATAATTTGAACAGGGTAAGTTTAATAGAAAGAGTTATTAACTAATGCAAAGTAATAACTATGAGGAGTAAGGAGAACTCTAAAGAATACCCTAGGGCTGGGAAAAGTACCCAAGGAAGAAACAAACTTGGAAGTGCGGCACCCTTGCCTCAAGCTGGGACACAAACCTTGGTGGAGGAGTGGTTGCAGCCCACCGGGTGATGGCCAAGTGGCTGGGTGGGCCTCGGCCAGCACTTGTTCATGAGGTATCCTCAGAACCTAGAACAGTGCATGGTGTATAATAAATTAGATATTTGATAAATATTGTATTTGATAAATATTAATTATATGAATGGCTGTAGGTGTTGGAAAAGGGGTGATTCTTCTAGAACGGAAGTCCACACACAGATCGACAGCAATAGAATTTCAGCTCCTAACTCAATTAGCATGGCAATAATGTGATTGCATTTCGATTCTTCTCAACTTGATGAAAATGACTTCTACTTTGTGTGTGGTATAATTAACACTGCAAAATTCACCTTTGCATGTGTGTGTACAGTTCTATGAGTTTTGACAAATGCATACAATTGCA